GGCTGAAAGTTGTAATTATGTAAATTATAACGCAGGTGTGGGTCAAGGCACATTGGTTTTTGGTTGATTTTGATCAAAACAGTAAATAAAACATTAGCTGTTCAAATCTACCTGATTGATGGAGTTGAATGATGAATATTTTGAAACCTAGTCATTTGAAAAAAGAGTCACTGATGCAGCTTTGCAATGTGCAGAGAAATTATGCATTTTGAATTCATTTACTCACCCTCATGTCATTCCAAACCTGTATGATTTTCTTTCTTTTGCAAAACACGATAAAAAACTTTCCTTTTCCAAAAGCGATGCAAAGCAGCATATAAAAGTAGTCCATGTGATTTGAGTGCTATATTGGAAGTATTTTGAAGTGAATATGATAGCTTAAATAATATTTCACTGATAATCCTTGTCAATAATGTGCTTTGAAATTCTTTGAAATCTCTTCTGTGTTTCCAGTTAAAAAGAAAGTCATAAGAATTAGGAAAAACATAAGGGTGAGTAAATGATGACAGAAATATAATTTCCACCCAAAAAAATGAAAATTTGCTGAAAATGTACTCACCCTCAGGCCATCCAAGATGTAGATGAGTTTGTTTCTTCATCTAAACAGATTAGGAAAGATTTAGCATTATATCACTTGCTCACCAATGAATCCTCTGCAGTGAATGGGTGCCGTCAGAATGAGAGTCCAAACAGCTGATAAAAACATCACAATAATCCACAAGTAATCCACACCACTCCAGTCCATCAATTAATGCCTTGTGAAGTGAAAAGATACCTGTTTGTAATACATAAATCCATTGTTAAGACATTTTAATTTCAAACTATTGCTTCCGTCTAAAATTATTCCATAATCCATAATACTGCTTTCTCCAGTGAAAAGGTTGTCTCGTCTGAATCAGGAGAGAAATGAAATGACGGCTTGATGGATTTGTTTCTAACAAACATGCAGCTTTTCACTTCACAAGATGTTAATTGATGGACTGGAGTGGTGTGGATTACTTCTGGATTATTGTGATGTTTTTATCAGCTGTTTGGACTCTCATTCTGACGGCACCCATTCACTTCAGAGGATCCACTGTAGAGCAAGTGAGGTGATGCTAAATTGCTCCAAATCTGTTCTGATGAAAAAGCAAACTCATTTACATTTTGGATGGCCTGAGGGTGAATACATTTTCAGCAATTTAAAATTTTTGATTGAACTGTTCCTTTAAATATTCTGAAAAGCTGTTTTTTTTTTTAAATTACATTGTTGAAAACACATGCCACACTGGATCATTTTTAGGTACATGCTTGAATTTCATAGATATCATTATTATTTTTTATAGAAACTGCTATTTTTATGAGTGGGTACAACTTTTTGATACACTGTGACAAGCGTGCGCTATCATTCTGGAAGGGCTGTGGTCTAATCACAAACCTTGCAATGGTGGGTTGGAACAGTTGTGCAGTTGCCTAGCAACAGGCAGAGGTGGGTTTCCCAAAAGCTTTGTTGCACAATGAACATTGTTGAGTCCACTATAGAGCCTTGGTAGTTTCCGAAATTCCCCACATTTCACACATCGTGTTTTTATAAACTGAGTTGAGAGCTGTAGGCCTGATTCTCTATTCCAAACTCCTACATAGCATCATATATTCATTACGCAATGACATTCCAAGGGTACACATCTCATTTCTCAAATTAAGTTGAAGGCTAAAGGTTAAACGCAAATCAGTCAGTCAAAACTAATGCTGATACACTTCTGTAAAAATCAGAGTAACACTTTAGTATAGGGACTAATTTTCACTATTAACTAGTTGCTTATTAGCATGCCTATTATTACCATATTGGCTGTTTATTAGTACTGATAAAGCACATATTCTGCATGACCATATTCTACAACCCTAATCCTACCCAATACCTAAACTTAACAACTACCTTACTAACTATTAATAAGCAGCAATTTAGGAGTTTATTGAGGCAAAAGTCATAGTTAATGGTTTGTTAATAGTGAGAATTGGACCTTAAAATAAAGTGTGACCATAATTTGGGAAGTCATGTGAAAGTCATTTTTCTGTTTGTCTTGAATATTTGCAATCACATGTGGGTTGAGTCACTGTATGATGGAGGTCCCTTAAAGGGGTCATATGATGTTGCTAAAAAGAACATTATTTTGTGTATTTGGTGTAATGAAATGTGTTTATGTGGTTTAAGGTTCAAAAAACACATTATTTTCCACATACTGTACATTATTGTTTCTCCTCTATGCCCTGCCTTTCTGAAACGCGTCGATTTTTACAAAGCTCATCGGTCTGAAAAGCAAACACACAGCATCACACACGGCGGGCTAGAGTGAGCGGAGGCCGGCGGACCTGTCTGTCAATCAGAATATATTCAGACAAGAGGCCTGTTGTGTTTTACAATGTTATAATACACATAAACGTACTGCACAACATTTATTAACTTTTATTACCATTAAAATTAATTCTTTAGTATTTTTTATATTATTATTATTATTATTAAAACTTTAGTATATTTAGTATATTAAAACTTTAGTTAATCAAACGCTGTATAGTCGGGTCAAAGACAAGATGTCTCATTTTGGTGTCCACATCAAATTAAATTAGCAAAAATGATTTTATATAAATAAAAAGCATATTAAATTCAAGTTAAGTGTCTGCTTTAATGTGTCAAATAACTTTTGTGGAAATAAAATGTCAAAATACGGGTGAAATAATGTTCCATCGTTTAATGACTCTTGTCCTGAATATGCCTGACAAGTTCTTTTGTTATTTGAACTATTGTTACACTGAATGACATTTTAGTGGATGTCTTCTGTAAATCATGGTAAAAATCTATGATAGTCATTATTTTTGCTCAGAAAAAAAATAAACAAGACATTCTAACGTACAAATAAAATTTAAGCTGTATTAAACTTGTATTGTTTTGATGCTTGAAAACCTCTTTTCATCTTTGACCCAGTTACAGGTTGTTCAAAGTAATTAGTCATGTAGTTACATTTTTTTTGTTTGTTTGTTTCGTATTTTTTAAATATATGCTTAAGGCCTATTATTGGATTGCATCTGTGAAACATCTGAAAGCCATTAAAAGTCTATTTAAACATCAAAACTATCTCATCTTTTGACAATTAAAGGCATATAACATGTAAGATTTTTTTATCAAAATGTCCAAAAACCACTAGAACAGTGTTATATATTTTGCTGACTTGTGTACTTACATTATCCCAAATGTTTCGAAGAATGTTTAAATCCAGAGAAATAAGCTATTTTAACTAGTGACACGGAGCGTGTCCATAGTGTCATTGTGCCGCCTGCTAATGACGTCATAACCCCTCGATTTCCGGTTTTGTTTTGTAGAAAACATGGAAAAACCAAAGACGCTTTATGTTGTGCGTTTTAATAGACCGGTGACGACCGCACAGAGTAGCATTATAACAGAACTTTCAAATGTATCTAGTATGATAAAACAGCGCTGCTTTTTTTCCCCACATACGCACGACCGGAAGGAGCGGAAGTGGTCGACTGTGGCATAATAAAAGCTCTGTTGCTGTCGAGCCGCGTGTCCCGCTCGTTCAGCGGCCTTGTTTCGCTTCGACGGCTTTCAGCCTCACCCTGTTTCATTCTACTATGTTAATAAATCATTAGCTCATCCATGAACATGTTCCGAGTCCCGTCGGATTGCATCGGCTGTGGGGATGAAGACCACAACTCCCATGATTCCACACTCAGTCACGGCTTCATCAAACTACGCCTTTGTTTCTTTGTTTATTTTGAATACGCGCCCTCTAGCGGCGAAAATTACATACTGTGCCTTTAAATTGCATTTTTGTTTCTTAAAAATTACTAAAATAACCATTATTGGAACTAATTCCCACCTCTGGTTGTTAATGTGTTTCATACACTTATGATCTACTTGTTGAGCTTCTTGAATAAGTGAAGTGTAGCCTAGTATGGTGTCCCATTCTGGGAATTTGCGGTCTGCATTTTTTGCTGGTCATTCACTCTCCCACTTACAATCCCTGCCGGTACAGAGACTTGAATCCGTGACTTTTGTGTTACGAGTCCAACTCTCTAACCATTAGGCCACGACTGCCTAATGAACGTGTTAATAATCATTACAATCAAATGCTAATGACTCTGAATATTCAGTTTGAGTTTTCTCTCGTCTGGTTGATAGGGCATCCTAGAACCATCTTATTTTTCTTTAAAACATTTCTTTTTCCCGGCCTCCAAATGTGTTGCTTGCAGCTAAATTGTTTTGCTTTGAATTGAGCAAATTAGAGCCCAGACTTCGCTTCCGTTTGAAATCTGCTTACTTCCACTGGAATGCAGAGTAAATTTGCTTTCACCATCTGTTGCTGTTGGCTTATTTGGACCGCAGTACCATCATTTCTTGTATTTCTCTCATATTTCCTCCCTAATTTCCTTCACTCAGAGGAGCGATAGATTTAATATGCTGTTTTTGTTTGGACCCCATGTCCAAATAGCCATTTATCAAACCTACAGCACAGTGAGCAAAGCACAGTAGCGAATACTCCTGTTCACACTCCGTATTGAATATATTATCTGGATTTATAGTAATATCTTGCAGCCAGAGTGGCTCATATTTCATAATTATGAATTTGGCATCATGGTGTGACAAGTGGAACATTGCAAATGACTTAATGATGATGTATAACACATATACGGTGAAACAAGTTGGCTCAACCAACCGTATGTATTGCGGCATTTTAACGTCTTTTAACAAGCCTGTTCGGATGAAACGGAAATCATCCTGTTCCTTTGTTTTAAATCAATCAAGTCAAGAAAGACTGCACTCTGCTGAAGTTGAAAGTGAATTATTGTGTGAAAAATCAATATACTGCAATCATCCCTTTTCTTTGAGCCACTTGGGTGTGATGATTTTAATATCTGTCTCTTATAACAATGTTGTAGAGTAATAGTTTTAACATTGGACATATAAAGCACCGTCTTACAGATCTGTGTGTTGCTGTCTTCCTCAGAAATCCGGGAGGCATTTAAGGTGTTTGATCGAGATGGGAATGGCTTCATCTCAAAGCAGGAGCTCGGCATGGCCATGCGTTCTCTAGGGTACATGCCCAATGAGGTCGAGCTGGAGGTCATCATTCAAAGACTCGACATGGATGGTGAGGAGACACATGCACAAGACTGTGAATGGAGTGCCATGCTGAAAAGACCAGAATAGCTAGCTAGTCTCCCTCAGCATGGGACACTGATGTGCTGGGGAAAAAAAAAAAAACACACAGCAGCCAGAACGTGCAAAGTACCGTAGCAACTTTTTAGGTTTTATGGATTGAACTTCAGTTTACAATAAAAAAGTAATATATTTTATTAAATCTTTCCCCACCATTGACAGAATTTTCCAGCTTTCCGTGTTTTCACTGTTATACGCTAGGAGGCGCTATTACGCATCTTCTGAAAGAATACTGAATGTCTGGATCAAAATATGGCAAAGAAAAAGCAGAAACAAGTGGTCACGTTTGTAAGCAGGTGCATATGTAAAATAACGTGATCATCAAGCATTAAACAGCATATAAGATCATCGTTTTGAATCCGATCCAGAAGTAGACTTTTACAAAAAAATGCAATTTTCTTAGCTTTTTGTTCAAAATGTTGCTTTTTTAAAATGAAACTTACCAACATTCAAGTGTTGATTTAAAAAAATAATGCATGAAGCTAGAAGAAAACGTTTGGTTTTGTTTAAAAGCAGTGGGCCTGTTCTATCTTTTAGAACACAATATTTTGGGGACCATGAAAATTTTGTGAAAATGATCAAAAATGTTGGCCGTGGCTGGCAACTTTTTTTTTTTTTTTTAAATGCTGCCAGGGAAAGTACTAAAATACTTTTTTTTACCTGTATAATAAACAGACAACCACCATAAAAACACAGGTGTTAATGAAAAAGCAACATTATAAATCAAATATTATCATAAGTAGCTTTTCCACAAGCTGAAGTAAATACTAATATATAGAAGGTGCACAGTTTCACACAAATACAAAACACCATCATGGTAACATTTTAACAACGTAAGATGTAATATAAAACTCTAATGTACACAACTGATAACCAAAGACTAAGAAGAAACAGTTACTTCAGTGAAAAAACATCAAATGGGATTTCTGGGAATGACAATTTGTGATTTTTCACTGTTAATTATAAGATGACTTGTTATTTTTAACTTTCAAAAACTAAATTTAACAGTATTTTACTGTAAAACATAATATTACAGTTTTTAAAATATACTGTATATAGTGAGATAATTTATAGCATTAACCAATTACAGTTTTTTTTACTGTAGCATGTTTACACTTTTTTACAGTTAAAATTATGATAATTTTTTTTATAGTAAGAGACGGTTTATCCAAAAATGTTAATATTTAGTGAATATGTGCTCATTTGCTTGTGTCATCTCAAACTTGTATTCTGAGGAACAGAAAAGAAGAGATATCTCCAAGTTTTTATTTCAAAATATTGTATTTTGTGTTCTGCAGAAGATAAAAGTTTGGAACAACATAAGGGTGAGCAAATGTTTTCAATTTTCAGTTTTAGGGTGAAGTATCCCTTTAAGGAAGCCCACCAGACACCAATCAGATGCATTTCTTGGCGCGGTAGGGATGCCAAGCACAATTGACAGATATTCAACAAATAAAGAAGCTAAATAACTGTAACCTTTTATTGCTCCAAACTATCATATTCCTCACAATGCATGGAGACATAGGGATTATGCATTCGCTAATGATGAGAACACTGTTCACAGTAGGCGTTTTGAAGTTTGACAGTAATTGTCTTGAAATGAATTGAAGGCGAAAGCGGTGCTTTGATGGCTGTAGATGATGTCTTCAGCTAGATAAAACCCACTCCATGAACTTACACTCAATCTGACACTAAAAATATTGAAGCTAAAAAAAGAGAGAAAGAGAAAAAAAATGATAAACTAATCAGTCTGGCATGGAAACTCAGGCATGGAAATTTGCTTCATCTTAATTAATGAATTTGAACGTGAATTGGCCAGGATGTCAAACTGGAGTGTCACAGGAAAAGGAATTTATTGAATTGCAGTTCACAAATAATAAACAATGACTGTTGAATATTTGTGAATTGCAAAAAATCCTTTAACAGAGCAGTTTCATTTAACTACATAATAATCATTATCATTAATTGTCATTGCTTAACTACAGCTGTTTACTCTCAGATATGTGAAATATTTTTTTCTTACCTGATTAGACATGACTCATGACTATTAACACAGTTATCAAAGCAGTAGCATTTTAATCACAAAATGCTTCTGCCATGGTCCATTACATGTAAGTTAATTTGTTAAAAATATATATATTAAATACGATGAATATTAATTAACAACAAAATTCTATTGGTGGTGTTGATTATTGATATCATCTAATGTTTCTAGAAATACTCTATTTCCAGGATTCCCAAACTTTTTTCTCTGTCAAACCCCTTTGACCTAAAGTACAGTATTTACTTAATATTTACCCCCTGAAATTTTAAGTTAATATTTCAGTAATGTTCACAGTTCTCCTGATGCTGGTTAGGTGACAAGGCATGCAGATAAACAAATAAAATATTAAACATTTGTAGTAAGTGTTTTTTTTTTTTTGTTTTTAAGTTGTTTATTTATTGTAATTTTTCATTTTTAGGATTAAATTAATTATTAGCTTTTCACAAACTCTATTTGATAGCTTTTGATAACATGTTTATGGGTAATTCATATTATTAAAAGACTTTGCAGGAATATGATTTATTTTCATCCCATTTTAATTCTTTATTAAATTCAAATTACACTTCTACATCACGTTGATACCTCAATGCAAATTTGATTCAAATGCAGGAATTTTCACTGCAGGCATTCTCAGTTCAGTTCTTCATAGCAAGATTCTGTCACTTGATGTGGTGCTAGAATGCATCTAATACTTCACGCTCTGTTTTTTAGGAGACGGCCAGGTGGATTTTGAGGAATTTGTTACTCTCCTGGGGCCCAAACTCTCGGCTGCCGGGATGCCTGACAAGTTCAACGGAACCAATTTTGACTCTGTGTTCTGGAAGGTGATTATTAGCCATTCCTGTCTTATTCCAAGTGACAACAGGCACAAAGTGTGCTGCTTCCGTCTGTCCCTGTCACACACAGAAACCAGATTAGATACACTTTCAATGCTCTCTATGAAATCCAACAAACAGACATGAATCACCTTATGGGAATTGCCTCCTATCCTGTAAACATGAGCCAAATTTGCATATTTGAATACATTTCAGTACAGATATATTGCTATGTGACATGATGACTTTAAGCAAGATTCATTAATAGATTTCGTAACAGTCCCTTCCGCTGCATGTCTGCGAGTGAGAAGAGCAGAATATCATTTGTACGGACCATATGGTGATTCCCCCAAAGGGTTTGCTTCTCTAATCACAGCTCGCTGCTGGTGCATTTTTTAGCAGCGCGTTTGACCCCAAATAGCTACGGGGGTCTCCCTCGTAAACGTCTCTCTGTGTCATTATGAGTTCAGAGCTATGAATATGTGCATATACTGTATATATACTGTATATGTGTGCTGAAATCTAAATCAACCTCATCTACTTTTTTACGAAACATTCCTGGTCAGAAATTCATAAGTGCATGTTGTTTCAAAGGAAAGATACTTGTCTTTGTAATCAAAATGTATGCAAAACAAAACAACTTTCTGGAAAGATGTCCTTCAGTCCACTTTTAATAATCCAATTAATTCCTAAAGGACAAAATCATGAAATATGAGACATTATAGAAATAAAATGGGTTGCATATGTTGTTTAATTTTGACTTTTAATAAAGTTTGCTCAAGTTGCATGAATGCATGACATGTAGTTTGAGCGACTGAATGCTCAGCTGATCGTAACTCCTCCCACTATCAATTAACAAGATAAATAAGTGCATCCGTACTCACAGACATATGCTTACCCATCCTCCATCCCCAGCTCCTCCTTATACAGATACATGATCACATAACTGCTTCTCCACGGAGATATATCATCTATCCAGCTCACCGTTGCTCAATCTGTCCAATTTAATTTACAGTACTGTATTACTCTGCATGGATTATATAACTGCTGCCTATAAAAAAATCTGGTAATTGCTTAGGCTTCGGGGGGTTCAAACCTCAGCGAGGTTTGCTTGTGGACAGCTCAGAATCTGAACCCTTCAGAGCGAAGCCTGCCACCAAAGTAATGTTCAGGACCTCTACAATAATCTTAATCAAACAGAGTGGTCCTGACTGAACTGATAAAAATGTATACCTTTAACGCTTTGGATAAAAGCATCTACTGAATGCATAAATGTAACGCATTTAGACTAATTAAACATCAGAGAATTTCAGAATGAAATCATACGGTTTTGTCTCTGTTTTTAGTGTGATATGCAGAAGCTGACTGTGGAAGAGCTGAAGAGACTCTTATACGAAACCTTCTGTGACCACCTGACTATGAAGGACATCGAGAATATCATCATGACAGAGGAGAATCACATCGAAAATCCTGAGGACTGCCAGGTTGACATTGACAGTAAGAATGTTTTTTCTTTCTTAATGCACAACTCTGGCTGAAATACAAGTTGAATTATTATTACTTTCCTGTCAAAACCATTTCATCATCTTGTTTAATTTTGTAAGGTGTATAAATTAGAATTTGGTGCATGAAGACCCACCCAAAAATCTTAATATCTTGATCTAGGCATACGCTAGGCATACGGGTCAGTATTATTATTTTTTTAAATAAATAATAATTTTATTCAGCAAGGATGCATTAAATTAACCAAAAGTGACAGTTAAGACATTTATAATGTTGCTAAAGATTTCTATTTCAAATAAACACTGTTCTTTTGAACTTTCTATTTATCATGGATCTTGAAAAAAGTAGTTTTCACAAAATGTTAAGCAGAACAGCAGAAAGAAAAATAAATTTTTCTTGAGCAGCAAATCAGCATATTAGATTTCTGAAGGATCATGTTACACTGAAGACTGGAGTAATGATGCTGAAAATTCAGCTTTGCATCACAGGAATAAATTACATTTTAAAATATATTAAAATAGAAAACACTTATTTTAAATTGTAAAAATGTTTCACAATATTGCTGTTTTAACCGTGTTTTTGATCAAATAAATGTAGCTTTGGTGAGCATAAGAAAATTGTTTCAAAAACCTTTAAAAAATCTTTCAACTCCAAACTTTTGAACGATGGTGTATGTGTGACATGCAAATACAGCTTCTTCTTACAGTAGTTGAAATGCACAAAGACTTGACTAACTCGCAGTTGATTAAATAGCACAAAGAAGACATACATATGGTTATAAAATATTTTTATCATTACTTTTCAGTACATTTTTCATTCACATTCCCCTCAATTCTATCCACCAACTTTCATGGGCTTTCATGGAGTTGGTCGCAATACATCTGAGATTGTCTTATCTGTGAAGGATATTTGTGATGCCTCCTTTAATTTAGTCCAAAACAAGGTATCTTAGAAGGCGGCATAATACGTTTGGAATTTCCCTCTGCTGCCTAAAAAGATTGCCTAGGCATGCATCTCACTAGGTTTTGGAAAGGAGATGTGGTTTCTTGCAATCCTACATATTTATAAACTTTTTTTGGCGAAGATACTATCTTTCAAACACTTTTTGGTCGCAATGTCCCACGTTTTTCATTTCATTTCAATGAATCACCTCCAAACCTTGTCTTAACACTTTATTTCTCCGGATCTTCTGATTAATTTCTCTCTGCTTCTTCAGCGGAGAGTCCAACCCAGCAGGTGAAGCAAACATGCGTACGGAAGAGTCTGATCTGCGCCTTCGCGATCGCTTTCATCATCAGTGTTATGCTTATCGCAGCCAATCAGGTGCTTCGCAGTGGCATGAAGTAACCGAATGGACCAATCACAACGTTGGTTCAATTCAATATAACATATGACAGTGACAAAAAAGGCTAAAAAAAAATTTACACACAAACTGGAGCAGCTTAAAAGTTCATTTTATTTAGATGAAATCCAAATGTTGTGACTGAAATATTTTTGAGACGAGCTACAGCTTCCACTGGACAGAATTTTTCATATTTGACAGCAAACGTAATGCACACAGATATATATAAACGCACACATACTGTGTCTTACCCAAAAAGGTATGATAAAAAGTACATGAAAAGAGAGGAAGAAGAAGTTTATACTGTAACGGACTCTTAAAAGTTTCCCCTTCAACCGCTCTCTCTCCCTCTTCAGTATGTTTTGGGTGAGTTTAGCCGCATGGACATCTCCAACCGAGGATCCTACTCTTCAATGCATGACGATGCATGGATTTACAATAGCCTGGATGTACCAGTAGAGCTCAGCTGTGCATCCATTCATCTATATATTAGATCCCAAAACAAATTTTCCAAAGAAAGACCCGTCTCACATGTATGAAGAGTTGGATATGCAGCAGAGGCCGTTTGTGACATCTTTTACATCCAGTATACTGATCCCCTTGCATGAGAATAAGGGCTGTTTAGGGCATGCTCATATCATGCAATGTTAGTCTTGTGTTTGTCCAGTAACTATTGTTGATTTTTACCAATTGCACATGCCTGAAATGATTGTAGTAGTACTCCATATGGCCAAAAGGGGGCGTGAAACATCCCAAAAGTGATACTATACCACTAGTGACATACCTGTACAGTATTAAAGGAATAGATCACCCAAAAATGAAAGTCACCTTCAGGGCATCCAAGATGTATATGAGTTAAAGGGTTAGTTCACCCCAAAATGAAAATTATGTCATTAATTACTCACCCTCATGTCGTTCCAAACCCGTAAGACCTCCGTTCATCTTCGGAACGCAAATTAAGATATTTTTGATGGAATCTGAGAGCTCTCTGGCCCTCCATAGACAGCAACGCAACTGAAATGTTCCCAGACAGAAACATAGCAAGGACATCGGTAAAACAGTCCATGTGACATCAGTGGCTCAACTTCAATTTTGCGAAGCTACGAGAATACTTTTTGTGCGTAAAGAAAACAAAAATGACGACTTTATTCAACAATTCTTCTCCCTCGAGTTACTGTCTTCCGCCATTTTGGAGAGTATCACAACGCATACGCACGCTTTACACTAAGTGTAAAGAATGCTGATTACGCAGATTACGTTCATGCACGCGCTTTACCCCCTAACGTAAACAACGCCGATTACATTCTTGGGTACTCTCTAAAATGGCAGAAGACGTAACTCGGGGGAGAAGAATTGTTAAATAAATTATGTTATTTTTGTTTTATCTGGGAAAATTTCAGTTGCGTTGCTGTCTATGCAGGGTCAGAGAGCTCTCACATTCCATCAAAAATATCTTAATTTGTGTTCCGAAGATGAACGAAGGTGCGTGATGTCATCGAGAAGGCGGAACTAGCGACTGACTTCTGTAAACAAGAGTGTAAACATTGCTGAAGCGCTTCCACTATAGTTCGCCAGCATTTTTCTTTCTTTTTTTCTGTCGTGGTAGTCCCTCGATGACGCATCATACAGGCAGGAGTACTGTTGCCACAGCTCCACGAACCTTTCCTCCATCTCATAATTCCACCTAGCAGCGCCAGCATTTTTCTTTCTTTGTTCTGTCGTGGTAGTCCCTCGATGACGCATCATACAGGCAGGAGTACTGTTGCCACAGCTCCACGAACCTTTCCTCCATCTCATAATTCCATCTAGCAGCACCATCATCTCTCTTTCGTTTTGCCATGTTTGAAACCTGTGTATGAAAGAGCTTCTGTGCTGCTATTGGTCAACGTCACCAATGTGACAGAACTCGTCGTGGACGACGGAAAAAAATTAAACATGCTAGTCTTTCTGTCGTGGTGTCGTGAAGCATCGCAGACGTGGAATCGGTTGTCGTTCACTATGACACACTACACGTGCTGAAACGATGGAATCTTGCATCCCGACGCCCATTGTCGTTTACGAATCCCCACGACACCCTACGTCAAGCAAATCGTGGCAAAATCGGGCTAAAA